TGTTTGATGTCTTCTCCATTCAGAGGGGCCCCTGCCTGTCTTTGCCTAGGGCCCCACATTTTCTAACTCTGGCCCTGGCTGACTTAGCAGCAAAATGTATGTTTCTGAACAGAAACAGAAACGGATCCAAACAATATTGCAAATAATCTAAAATGGGCAACAGACTCTTTCCAGTGGGTGGAGATGGTCTGATCTATGTTTGCAGATCTTGCACTGAACTGAGAGAATCTGATGAGGGTCAGAAACATCAAGTCAATCCAGGATTAACCTGCATCCAGCACTAAACATCGTCCCAGCCATCAAATCTGTAGGCCTTAATCTGCTGATAATCTTTGTCCTACCTGCTTCCCTCCATCCTCCCGTTTTTCTGTTTCCAGGCACGCCTCGGGCAAACGCTCGAGCTCCCGCTCCTTACAAGAGAGACTTTGAAGCTAAACTGAGGAATTTCTACAGAAAGCTGGAGACCAAGGGTTATGGGCAGGGACCAGGAAAAGTCAAGTACGTCTGGAAATAAACGCTTCCATCTTATTTATGTTTCCTCATTTTTCACCTTATTTTATTCTCTCAGCAGCGGCCATCTGCTCAGAGAATCATCCCCATAAACTAACCCAGGAGGACATGATGAGAAGGAGCTATAGAAATAAATTGAATTGAATTTTATAAATTTTTTTGATAAAATTTTTAAGATGGCTTTAAAATAATAAAGGTAAAAGAAAGTGAAATTAACTTTAGAAATACCACAGTACCAATTTAATTGATATTTGTTTTGGCACCAAAGCTACTGTGCTAACTGTTAATTTGATTGGCAGGTCTAGAAAAGCACTAAGTAGAAATCCCCCCACCAAGTCCAGTTTTACTTCTAGTTTGTTTGATTTCATGTCTTCAGGCTCATCATCCGCAGAGACCACCTGCTGGAGGACGCCTTCAATCAAATCATGTGCTACTCCCGCAAAGATCTGCAGAGGAGCAAACTCTACGTTAGCTTTGTGGGCGAGGACGGGTGAGAAAGACTCCATCGGTTATAGTCTCAGGATTAGGCTCGGTTTTATTTACGGTTCAATAGCATAGAGGCCCGAGCAGAGAGCCTTGGGGAACACCACCTCATGAACTAAAATAAACTCTTTAAATGTTGCTGGTTTATTTTCTAAGCATTTTGTTTTTAATTAATAATCATATTTAAATGGTTGCGTAACATCGTGGATCCTCTCCGTCTTACGATGAATGTTCTATGATCGTCCTACAGGCTGGACTACAGCGGACCGTCCAGAGAGTTTTTCTTCCTGGTGTCCAGAGAACTTTTTAATCCGTACTACGGCTTATTCGAGTACTCGGCCAACGACACGTATACGGTGCAGATCAGCCCCATGTCCGCCTTCGTGGACAACCACCACGAATGGTGAGTTCCTCTTATCGGTTCTGTGCCGATCATAACGCCGAGCACGGCGCTGCATATGGTCCAGAATCCATCAGGAACAGGGAATGGATGGATGGAAAAGGTTTGGATCCTCAGACCAACAAAACATTTCAGACTCTTTGAGAGGAAATGTCTGATATTAGCCGTTAGTTTTCTACGTTCCGGAGTCAGAATCAGCATTAATTAAAATCATCCCGTGTTTTGGATCCAGGTTCCGGTTCAGCGGGCGGATTCTGGGGCTGGCGCTGGTCCATCAGTACCTGCTGGACGCATTCTTCACTCGTCCATTTTACAAGGGTCTGCTCCGTATGTAAGTGTTTCCTTCATCCAGCAGCGTTTCTCTTCCCTAATGAGGAAAATAAACTTTATTCCAACCCTGCTGGAGGAAAACGCCTCATTTTCCTCAGATTGATCATTTTTATGGGTAAAATGTTTATATTTCCTGTGCGAATGTTCGTAATGTCCAAAAGGTTCCTCTTTAGCGTCAGCCGGTCTTTTAGGAACTGAAAGGTTCTGTTTCTGGTTCTGGTCCTGCAGTCCATGTGACCTTAGTGACCTGGAGTTCCTTGATGAGGAGTTCCACCAGAGCCTGCAGTGGATGAAGGACAACGACATCGAGGACATGCTGGACCTCACCTTCACCGTCAACGAGGAGGTGTTTGGGCAGGTGGGTGTCCGCCTTCTAAAAAAGGAAAGTGCCGTCACTCAGAAGGTTCCATCCAGCATCGGTTGTCCTGCAGATCACAGAGAGGGAGCTGAAGCCGGGCGGGGCCGGCATCCCCGTGTCTGAGAAGAACAAGAAGGAGTACATCGAGCGAATGGTGAAGTGGCGTATCGAGCGAGGAGTCGCCCAGCAGACGGAGAGCCTGGTCCGAGGATTTTATGAGGTACGTCAGCGTCCCCGGGTTCTGGTTTCCCTGACCTCTATCGTCGCTCTGCTTCATGCTGCGTACTGCTTATATCTGAGCGACGGAAACAGCAACTTTTAAACAGAGCATGCACAAGGAGAAATGGGCTTGTGCA